TCCCACCCAGTCACATGGCTGGCAAGTCACTCCCACCCAGTCACATGGCTGGCAAGCCACTCCCACCCAGTCACATGGCTGGCAAGTCACTCCCACCCAGTCACATGACTGGCTAGCCACTCCTACCCAGTCACATGGCTGGCAAGCCACTCCCACCCAGTCACATGGCTGGCAAGTCACTCCCACCCAGTCACATGGCTGGCAATCCACTCCTACCCAGTCACATGGCCGGCTAGCCACTCCCACAAAGCAGGCCACACCTACGGAAGAGGTTCTAAATTTTTTTGAAACCCACCACTGATCAGAGTGCATTTCTTTTTTATTCTCAGAGAAAGTACAGGAGGAAATCCAGAATGCACTGGATCCCCAAAAACCCATCTGCTACGAAGATCGGAAGAAGCTGCCTTATACCTATGCCGTCCTTCACGAAGCCCAGCGTCTCAGCAGTATCACGCTTTCCACCCTCTTTAGGTTGTGCGCAATAGATTTGAACGTACTTGAGTTTTATATTCCAAAGGTATAGAATAACAGTACAGAAATGCCAAACAAACAGACAACCCCCCCCACCCCATCCCCCAATGTTGTGAGTCAAAGCAATACAAAAGAAAACCGCGGAGGAGGAGGCATTAGCAACACACAAATTCCCTAAGTGTCATTCATCTTTTTGGGCAACACAGGACCAGCAGTTCTGCAAGAGAAGACTAACCCCCACCCTTAAAAGATAAAATAAAAACAGGACCAGTGGTTTGAGTCGATGTCATAACGGGCTCAAGGAAGAGCTGGTAACTTGTCAGAAATGGTATAGGGCCATGGTGGCAAACCTATGGCACGCATGCCTGAAGCGGCACGCAGACCCATCCCACGCAGGACGTGCGGCCTCGCAGGCTCCTCTTCTGTATTCCTGTTCACACATGTGCGCTGGTTACAGTGGTTGGTTTCAGCCGGTACGCCCCGGTACGCGCATACCAGTGCCTGCTGGAAGCAACAGCCACCGTACCAGAACGGTGCTTTGGAGGGCCCGCCCACTGCTCTTCTGGGTTTTGTGCTCCTGCAGGAGCGAATGCCAGTGAGGCTGCGTGGTTCAGTCTTGCGTGCCATTTCCGGCACGCATGTTGGCCCACGGTGATGAAGAAGGTTAGCCATCGCTGGTGTAGGACTCCTGCTTGAGCAGGAGTTGGATTAGGTGACCTCCAAGGTCCCTTCCAACTCTGTTATTCTGTATTCGGTATCCAGTTCTAAGGACAGTAAGTTTTCAGCAGTTTCCCGGAGCCACCGAAATGCCAAAGTGAGGGAGGCTCAAAACAAGGCTTGCAAAAAAATATCAGCTTTTATTTATGGCCATAGCAAAAGCTGGGTGACAAAACTATATCCAAAACTCACAAACAAATGCATGGAAGGAATAGCCGCCCCCTGCAAGAGAGGCTCAGAGTATTATATACTCTTTTAGGCAGATAGAAGCAAAGTTTATCCAATCAGAGACCAAGAATCATTACCAACGTGATCTTTAAAAAGTTCTTTCGTTCAAGCTCCTGTCTCTGCCTATCTTATATCTGCCTATCTAAGAGCCGAGGTGGCGCAGTGGTTAAATGCAGCACTGCAGGCTACTTCAGCTGACT